TTTGTTTAGCGTTTTACCTATGCCAGTAATAGCCGCCCCAAGAGTCTTTTGATGTTCGGAAATTCTAATATCTCGCTTGATTCCAGATTCATTCAGTGCAGCTCTCACCTCATCGTTCAGTTTGGGAGGGTTAAGAAGGCTACAGTTTTGAGGGGTGTCATATTTGCGGATGAGGACAGCTCTTGTATCTGTATTGAGACCACTTTGTAGAACTGCAGTCCAACGTTTGCATAAACTCTCATGTAACTCTATGGAGGAGCTAGCCACGGCGACTTCTTCTCTACCAAGTAACTCTTCGATGTCGGCTGGAAGGGCATCGTTCTCTTCATTAATGAGCGCTGGGCATACGTCTACCACATTCATCCCCTCCTCCTTTTCACCCGATGACAATGGGGAGGGACTTCGGAAAGGGTCCTCATCCAATAGTTGGCGGGCACACGGCGAGCGGCTCCGCCTGGAGTGTGCTCCGTTATCCTCTAGGAAAGAGAAAGAGAGAGAGAACTGATATTAGGTTCCAAACTGCGAGATTTAAATTACTATCCATGGCTAACCTCTCGTGAAAGCTCTAGGATTGCAGTAGGGAATGTTTGACTCATTGACTGAACGCGCCATTGACCAGCGGCTAACCTCCCGTGAAAGCTCTTGTGGTCCGTTCGAAAGTCAATTTACCAACGGCTAACCTCTCGTGAAAGCTCATGTGGTTCATTCTATAGTCGAGTAACCAACGGCCAACCTCTCGTGAAGGCTCATGTGGTCTCGACCTATAGGTAGTCAAAACGAAACGTGTCTGGTGTGTCCAATGGCTAACCTCTCGTGAAAGCTCTTATGGAACATTTTAAGATGTGTATGTTACGTACATAATCAGTCTCATAATTTTCCTCTGCTCCAAAACTTGGAAAAGCGCCACATAAAGTAAGATAGGTAGGTACTTTTCTACGAGGAAAAAACTTACCCGAGCGGTGGTGATGAGAGCGCCTCCTCGCTCGACTTTCCAAATCCTTCACCCGTTCCAATAGTTCTTCTATTCTTTTACGGCTCCTTCGTCCCATTTTAGTGATTAAATCGCCAAAATATAGAAAAAAATTTCTAGAGCCGACGTGATGGTTCGTGCACAAAAAAGTACAATGAAGTTGACAGCGCGGCAAAGATGACCACAGAGTATAAATGTTTTTTTTTTTCTCTATGGATTTGTTCATTTTTGAACATTGTGATGGTAAATGTACAGAGTAGTGCGACTACGAAGTATAATTCAGCGGGGATGACACTACCTATACAATTATGAATTAATTGAAATAAATAGGTACTTTGACTTTCACTTTGATCGCCATATTAGTCTTGAAAAAGGAGTAAAATGCTCATGTATTCTAAACTGATGGTGACCCTACAAACTCAATGTTATTTTCTTAATGTTCATGAAAGTTTTAGAGTACAAGTTGTCGGTCCGTCCGTGACCTTTATATAACAAAACTAAAGTACATATACGTAAATATTAGACAATATTAGGCTAATATCACAAGATTCCGAGTAACTGTTATTTTAATTATTAATTATTATTTATACTGCTCTCTGCCTCGTTGGCCGAGTGGTCGCAATTGCGACTGCTGGGCAACGGGTCTCGGGCTTGATTCCCGGGTCGGGCAAAGTAATAATGGGGTTTTTTAAAAAATCTCAGTATTAGCACGGAGTCTAGAATAATAATTGTGCCCGGTATATGGCAATAGGCTCTCCCCGTATTTCATGGGACTCATAACATAAATAGTGAAAAGTGGGTATTACATTGTATAGTGGCATTAAGTGCCGTAATGTACACCTCTGCCTACCCTTTCGGGGATAAAAGGCGTGATGTTATGTATGAATTATTATTTATAAACATTCCACATATAAAAATGAATGGTGAACGATGAAACTGGACTTTAAGATAGGTACTTTGATTTTACCCTTCTGGAAATATCCTGAGACAAACTGAAACTCGAAACGACATATTTCAATCGAACAGAGTCAGAATCAAGTTCATTTATTCCAATAAGACCAGGAAAAGGCACTTTTGGACATCAAACAGAATAAAAGTGTCAGTCTGTCCATCAGTCAACTAGTAAAGCTATTTGCTCATTCTAAAGATTTTTTCTATTTTTTTTTATTGGAATAGGAGGCAAACGAGCAGACGGTGATCCGTGATCCTGATAGTATGTGAGTCAGCGCCGCCCATGGACAACACCACAGTAGTCACAGGTGCATTGCCGGCCTTATAAAAAGAAGTTCTTCGGCCTTATAAGAATACCACTACGGTTGCAAAAAAAGCACACGGCCCACATGATGTTTAGCGGTTACCGTAGCCTATATACGCTTGCAACACTTGGGGCATTCCATGCGCCTTGCCAACCCCTGAAAAACCTATTCACTCCCTTCTTGAAGATCCCCATGTTGTAGCCTACCGAGGAAACGCGTATCGATTCCTATGGAGAGGCACGGTGTAGATTCCTATGGAGAAGAACGAGGCACATGCTTGTGTACTATTTTCCTGTATTGTGTATTAATCTAGTACGAGACTTTTTAAGGGTGAAAATCATCCAATGACTGCTCTCGCCTTGGGTTAGGCCAGAGGGAGTATCAGACTCTTACTGACTAAAACCACCCCGTTCCTACTCCTGCACTTCGAGCCTCGAGATTGGTTTCTGTAATCAAAATAAATGTAGTAATTACATATATTAAATGGTTGAATTAACTCGTAGAGCACCGTCATTATAGACACAATTAAACAATAGGTTGCGGTCACCGGTGACTGCTTGGTGTTTGACAGTTTAAATTGGTATTCTTGTATATTGTTATTAAGTTAGGCAGTGGGAAATGGAAAACTCGTTGAAAGGAAATATATAAATAGAGAGTTGATTGAATAAACTGAAACATTGTTTAGATATCAAAGATTATAACTTAGTAAGTGTAAATATCTAGAAGGCGAGAAATATGAATATAACGCTAATTATGTAAGCGGAACAATCGGTAGGATTCCAATACATTTTGTTGAGAACAATTGACTTCTTCCCATATTAATAACTGGGTACTTAGGTATAATGGGAATTTTGTAAAGCATGGACAAATACTATTGTGACCGGTATTATGAAAATTTATAATATATTAAAAATTATAAAAATTTCAATAATTTTATCTAATACAATGAATAAGATAAAGGAACTACATCAAACTATTTTTTAATTTCAAATTACTTCAAATTCAAAGTAGCCACGTTGGCCGAGTGGTCGCAAGTGCGACTGCCAGGCAAAAAAACTCGGATTCGATTCCCGGGTCGAGCAAAGTATGACGCCCAGTCAAAAAAATTCAGTAGTAGGTACGTAGCAGTCAGTAGAAGCATGGAATCCAAAATGGAAATGTGCCCGGTATATGACAAAAGGCTCACCCCCTATTACATGAGACTCATCATAAATAGTGAAAAGTGGGTATTACATTGTACAATGACATTAAGTGCCGTAATGTGCATCTCTGCCTACTCCTCAGGAATAAAAGGCGTGATGTTATCTGATATGAACACTTCTAATAATTTGTCTTTGAAGCTATTCGTACTTACTCAATCAAATATTGGGAAACAGTCCCTAATATAAATTCAATAATTCTACAGCCTTATAAAACAAAAGAAAATATAAGGTTTTTAATTTTTATCCCCAATATCGTAGTTCAACCAAAATTACCTATATACTTAAGTTATTTATTTATTTAGACACCCAACAAAAGATACACTTACATGCTAAAATATAACCCACTAGACATTGGAATAACCTTGTGATCCTTCAATTGAAGGAAACCACATCATACAAATACAAAGATAGAACGATTGAATGAAATAAAATGAAATTCCAAAAATGACATGTAAAGTCAAAAAAATAAATAAAAATACAACATTAATATTAATTATTATAGAGATCACAAAAATAATATCAATAGTAAATTCGTCAATGAACATGAAACCTAATTGGTTGGCTGCGCACGGAGGACTGCGCGCGCGCAGGGCCGCGGCCTAGTAGGGCGACCATGATTCCATGTGACACCGGATATTTGTACAGATCAATGTAAACGATAACAAAGTAATATTCACAAGAAAATTAGGTCATCGTGTAAAGAAAATATTTTACTAATATTTCTATTTATGAATAGATGAATAGAACATGTCTATATGGAATGAAATAAGTTCTGTCTGTAATATTTACATAAACTATGCAAAAAATGTATGTTTACTGATTTTTGACATGTTATTTTTTGGTACTGTTACTAATTTTGTCTTCCAGGGTTTGCCGACGCCATAATTAAAATGTAGTAGTAGTGTAGTAGTAGTGATTGGTTTAATCAATCTATTATTTATTTTTTTATATAATTATATTATGTAATTAAGGACACTAAAACCAAACTTAAATAAAATAAATACTAACTATTACTAGTTATATAAATACTAACTATTACTAGTTAGTATTTATTTTATTGAAGTTTACATTATTTGTAAATAAAAGCTTTGTAAATCATGCGGCAATAATCATGTGCCATATTAATAAAAATTGACTTAACCCCTCTCCGAAGCATTACCACATTATTTCCTATCCCAGATAATATCAGTTTTTAAATAATAACAAAATTAAAATAGAGCAGATGACAGTGTATAAGTGTTCCTATTTTGTAATAGCTATTTAATTGACGTAGTACAAATAACATAAAATGTCCAAACAAATTGTAAAATTATGTTTGAAACCTATAGAAACCTATACTAGGTCAAACTATAGAAAAATCATCAAATTAACGCATCCCACGTAAGGTGACCAGTCACCATTGCCGAAAAAAACATTAAAAGTACGTAACAGATTTACATTTTATCCTGCTTAACGAAGATTGTGCGCACGTCCTAGTAAAGTCCTGAGTTTTCAAGTAACGCATGGTTCCCCTACTCGCGGCGCATGTAGATCTGCGCATGCGCATCCAACCACTTGTAGTTCAATGTGCGTGCCCGTCACCCGCCTGTACCGCCTGTTTCGGTTCAGACGAAGTAAAAAGTGGACATTTGTAAGAAAAATATTTAAATTTTCAAAATCATGAGGACGTTTGTGCTGTATTTCGCTGTGATATTGGTAAGTACAGATTTAAGATTTTTTGAAACCTTTTTTAGTTTTTAGCAAATGTTTTGTTTTGATATCCCTGCATTTGTTTCTCTTGGAAAGTCTTAGTATTTTTAATTATCTACACATATCCTATAGCTTGGTGATAACTTCTAATTTTATTATTAATAGATATTTATTATTATTTTAATTACCTATTGCCGGACGTATAATTTTCAAATAGGTACAACATCATCGATAGCACAACATATTTTTTTAAATCATATCTTGAGTCTCTATAAAATGAATCAAAACTTAACCCTGTATTCCAAAGAGGTTTAATTCCAGACCATTTTTAACCTATTTTTAAAAGGGGTGACCCAAATACCAGTCACCATCATGTCTTATGTTATCATTTACTGGTTTTCGCACGGCAGAAAATACTAAGCACGTTAACAAATTTCTTAAACATCATTGTTCCATCTGCACAGATTACTTAGCACCGCTTATGCGCAATATTGAACTGAGGCCTTAGTACGAGTTTATTTTACGTTTAAAGTTATCGTAACGAGTACGCGTTCGGCGCTGTGATTGGTTGGTTCATTGGCGCCGGCCAATCAGAGTGCCGAATGCGTACTCGTTTCGTATAGTTTAAACGTAAATCAAACTCGTACTAAGGCCTCTGCTTCGAACATTTTCCCAGGGCATATGGAAGCAGGATTAATTTTGTAACCTAGTTTGCATTGGTTATTTTTACCTGAAGGTTTTTATGGCATAAGCCTGTAAACGAGCAGACTGATCACCTGATGGTAAGCAATCGGCGCCGCTCATGGACACTCGGAACACACAAGGCGTCACAAGTGCGTTACCGGCCTTTTGGGGATTTTGAGGATCGATGGGGATTCAAGGATTGGGGAGATTGGGGAAGGGGAGGGTAATTGGGCTTCCGGTAATCTCACTCACACGATGAAACAACGCAAGCGTTGCTTTACACCGGTTTTCTGCTCGGCCGTGGTATCGCTCCGGTCGAGCCGGCCCATTCGTGCCGAAGCATGGCTCTCCCACACTTAAATATTACCAAAGACAGTTAGAGTCGGTACTTAATCGTCGACAGTAATCTTTCAGTTTTCGATTAAAGGAAATAATTATCCAGTTGTAATCGATTTGTAGCACTTCTCAGAGATAATGAGATTGAGATATCACGTTCCTCATATTGTTTACTTTTCGTGTCAATGTACCACTTGCATAGTTTTCGTTTTCTCAGTTAATTTGGTCGCCAACTATGCGATCGACATTAATTCCGTAATTTACGAGGCACAACTAAAAATAAAATATTTGTTTATATAAATATGTGAATTATGTTTAAATATGACGCTGAAAATTCTAGAATATCTTAGTTATAATAGTTAGGTATTTATTATAATTTTGTTAGTTTGTTGGTGTCTAAGAAACGAATTAGGTACTCATCATCAACAGCCTATAAATGTCCACTGCTGAGCCTTTGCTTAACAGTGGGCATTTATACTGAGCATTAATCACCACGCTTGCTCAATGCGGGTTGGCGATTACCAATTTACAATTAGAAATTATAAGGCCTAGGTTTCCTCACGATATTTTCTTTCACCGTTTGTCAGTGGTGTCTAGGTAATCTTAGAACGTACATATAACTCGGAAAAAGTCACATTGGTACTTGCCGTTGGTAGGTTTCGAACATGCCCTCATGCATGAGAAGGGCATCTTAAACCTCCGGGCCACAACGACCCCAATTACTTGATTGTGAAATGTTTTGTACCCAGGTACACCTAGATCGTTGTAATATGTTTATGAACGGACCAATCACTTTGTTTAAACTACATCTGGTCGCACCAAATAGGACTTTTCTTATAGAGGTAATATTAGTGGGTTTTACAAACATTTCACCCTAAGTACCTAATGTGACCTAAACAGACACACGTTTTATTCATACGGTAAGGAGCCCTCTAAATCACAACCCAATAGTACTTAGAAATAAATGTACTTCTCTTAGATAACAGATCAGAGAAAATAAAGACTTATGTAATGATATTACTTCATAGTTCAACAGTCGGAGTGAGAAAATCGGCTCGTCACGCTATTGACCGACAAAGTCGATGGACGTGACTGAAAAAAAAAACATTTATAACAAATAGAGACCAGAGATACTAGATTTGTTATTGATAATGTTATTTAATAATATCCTAATGGTATATATCTGAAGATTGGTTTGTGATTTATTATTATCTATAAATGTCAATTTTTGAGAAGTATAGCCAGGACTAGGGGCAAATAATGATTCAATATACTGGTCCTATCACATCATGTCATCTCCAGACCACAAAGATTAGTCCTATGCGGGAATCGAATCCGCGATACGTAAGTTGCTGGCTACGCATTTGTGCCTCCGTGTTTCCTTCGGTATCCCATGGGTGGGTGGCACTGATCACATACCATAATCTGATCCGCCCGACCAATCGTTTATCCCATTTAAAAAAGGTATACTTCATACCTGGAGATCTACTTTTCGATCTATCTTTCTCTGAGTTTGTTTCGGCATTTCTTCTCAGAGTAGTTAGTTAGGAAATGTCGACCTCATCGTTCGCTTGATAAAATTGACGTGTAAAAGTGCTGCCTTGTAGCCTATTTGCAGAAATAAATATTCACTTGTTTCACTTCACTTGCTTCACTTGTTTCACTTATTTCACTTACTTGTATAATACCTGGAGTCTAGCAAGAGAGACTTGCAACTAGTACCTTTTTAGACTTAGTACTTCTCTTTGATTTCCTGTATATTATAATACATCAAGGTCGTTCGGCACCTTTGTGATATAGTTATGGCAAACAGACTAATATTATGGACAGACAGCGAGCAAGGTGTTTGCTAATGATACAGACTCCTCAAACAAAGACGACCTAGGATTGAACTGGATATAGATTTGATCATACTGAGATTTGTATGTCTAGGTACTGTGTTTGTTTAATAGACTAATCTAATATTATATTCTGGTATTTGTTCAGTTCAGTTTTGCCTCGTTGGCCGAGATGTCGCAAGTGCGACTGCTGGGCAAGGGATCTCGGGGCCGATTCGTAGGTAGTACTGCGGGTTTTGAAAAATTCTCAGTAGTAGCACGGAGTCTGGAAATTTGCCTGGCATATGGCAAAAGGCTCACCCCCTATTACATGGGACTCATAAACATAAATAGTGAAAAGTAGGTGTTAAATTGTACAGTGGCATTAAGAGCCGTAATGTACATTTCTACCTACCCCTTCGAGACTAACAGGCGTCTTATGTTGTTTAGTTCGTCAATGTAAAATTGAACCACCTTTGCTCACTACGCGGGAGTCAGAAAAGTCGAATTAAATAAAAGTAAATAAATAAAAGTCGGTGACGTTACTGTGTACCATGACCTTAAAGGACTACAATCACTTGTGATAGGGCAACTACGGTCTCTGATATACCAGATGAAAATTATAATTATACGTACATACGTAATCTTAAGTTTGGACGCTTTTTTGATTTGAGTTACTAAATAGGTTTTCAACTAATGCAAGTCTCTCAAATGACATAGAGATTTTTATGCCCAAACGAGCAAATGGATTAGGTGATTGGGTAAACGTAAATGGATCGGTGCGGGTGCCGCCCATGGGTGCTCGTATCACCACTCACCACAGAGATTACAATTGCGTTGCATGCCATGGGGACTTGGAGACTGGAGATTTCCATCTGCTTTCTTCATGTTAAATTGACAGTGAAAAATAAAAATCTTACTGACCTTATTACCCTTTTTTGAAACTACTATGCTATACAATACACGCCGTCGGTGAAACCCAAAGTGCAAGACAAGTACCGATGCCCAAAGATGACCTCGTACTTAACCGACTTTCTGCGGCAGATGAAAAACAATTGATAAAGTGTTATGGGCTGATGTAATGGGGTGAACTAAAGTAATCATATTATCGTTATGGTAATCTGTGTGTGCGACGAATTTAGAGAAAAAAGGTTTTTCTAATCCAGTGTGAAGAGATAAGAGATTATATATGAAACAAGCGTCGTGTAAGTTGTAATTGGCCTAATTGTACTTCAAATTCCCCAAACCCCGAATCACCAAAAAGGACAACGCACTTGTAACGTCTTTGGTTTTTCAGGTGTCCATGGGTGACGCGAATTCCTTACCATAGTGATATGTCTGCTCGTTTACCGGATTATACCACAAAAAGTAACCAAAGATTTAAAATTCAAATTGGTTATTAATTTTGGTGGAACTAAAAATTGAAGTCTGATGAGGGAATTGAGTTTAAAATTACGTACCGTTACCATTTTAGTATATTACTGCTACTGGGCTCCTGCCAAAATTGCAACAAGTGGGCTGTAAAACTGACGGTCTTTAACGTGCCAGGTCATTCGTTTAGAAAACAATAAGCTATCTTCTTTGAAAACTATTTTAGAACCAGAAGATGGAAGATGCAAGTTGTTATATTTTGACTTCATTTTGAATAAGACGTCATGTACTTTTTTTTGGGCGTAGGTACACAAATTTATTTATGCACTTGGATTTTCATATACCTCTACATGTACACTTTATAAACAACACGCTTTGCAGCAGCAGGTCACTTATCACAGTGCAAGTCGGGCTTACGAACGTGGCCTTTCCTTCTTCTCTTTGTACAGGGCGAGGAGGGAGACGTTGGCCACCTTCACAACCTTAAATCTGACACCGGGAATGTCACCCACGGCGTGACCCTTACGACCGAATCTTATACTTATACATATTTTATATTTGTCGTAATATATACCAGAAATATTTTATCTTGCTATATGCATAATACTGCGGATTCATTCGCGAAAGCTGTTATAATTGAAATTCAGAATTTTGTTGTTAACTTAAACTTGTTTCATATGTGGTTCATTGACCTATTGAACTCTTTTCGATATTTGTTTTACCTTCAGCTTTGTTTGTATTTCGAGTTAAATATCCATTTCGCACCAAAAAGACAGACTTCCGAATCGTTTAATTATT